AAAGGTAAAGATGAGGGACGCGTAGCGTGCCCCCTTAGAGTCGAGGGACGCGTAGCGTGCCCCCTTCTCTTGCACTTTACACGGTCTTGCTCACAGCTCTTATAGTGACACCTTAGAACTTGACAAGGCATCGCAGTCTTTCCTTTGCTTCTGCAGACATCTCAGCCATCTTCACTTGCTTATCATCTTTTAAGTTCCTTTCGGCGATGTCCATGATCTTTACCATGTTGGAATCCACTGCTCCAAGCCAGATCCGCATCCTGTTCCTGAACTCTGCCCATCCACTCTTCTCTTCTTGCCATGTTCCTGGGGAAAATGCTTCGGGGCTTTTAATCAGCTTGTGCAACTCCACTTCTCCAGGCTTTCTTTGTTCCTTTACTGCTTTCTCCAGAGATGCTCCTATCTCCTCAAGTGTCGTTGCTGCATTCGTGTGGGCGTCTGCCAACGCTGTTTGCGCTGTCTTCTGCTGTTCCTGAACTGCTGTCAGGGTTTCCTGGAATGCTTGTGTAAGTCCTGCTTCTCTTTGACTTCCTGAAGCTGCTGAGTTCCTGATCTCCTCTGCTAGTGTTTGTATTCCTTGTAAGGTCTGTGCATTGATCTCGGCAAGTGCCTTCAATGCATCCTCCATTCCTTTTGCTGTTTCAAGGTTGCTGTACACTAGTGCTGCTAAAAGTAGCGACTTGCACTGCTTCCTGCTCACTGCTTGTGCTCTCCTTTCTCCTCTTGTCTTCCTTTGGTGCTTTGAGCGGTTGCTTGCTCTTGCGAAAAACACACTAGAATAGTACGACAGGGTGATCCAAGTAATCAGTCCCATTGGGGTTCCTAAGAACACTGCTATGCGAATTCCTTGAAATACAACTCTGTTGGAAATGACTTCCTGAACTATCACATGCACGACGTCGTGAAACTTCTTTCCTACAGTTGCTAGCTTTTCTACGAAACTGCGAACATGTTCCTGTACAAATTTCCTCAGTACTTCTCGCTGTTGTTTTACTAGGTACCTAGGGGCGTAGCCTGACTCAAGGCTCTCACTCTCCTGGTTCTCGGTGTTCTGATTGCCGTTCCTGTTCTCTTCCGTGTAGTACTCGCCGGTCACGCTAACGACGCTGTAGAGCTCGTTCATCACTTGGTTCATGCACAACAAAGCGTACGGTACCATGACTTTTCCTATCTCCACATAGTCCTTAATCGTGTACGCGTTTGTGTTCCTGATCGTGTTCACGTTGGTGCCGTCGGGGTTCACACTGCACTCGTTGTAGCCTTGCTGGTAGTACTCGCCGTACACGTCATAGTTCCTGTAGCGGTTCCGGTGCGTATTGGGCTTCCTTCTGCTCGACCACACTGCCATGAGCTCGCTCTCGTCGCTCTCCACGTAAGTGAGTTCCTTTCTCCCACGGCTCGCATCCTTGGAGGATAAGACGTCTCCAAGGGCAAGTTCTTCCTTGGTCTCCACGTTGTTGCCAAGGGCCTGCCACGGTCTCACCGCCATACTTCTTGCTCCTGGGACCAAGATCATCCCGCACAAAGTTGCGAGGCTTCCCAGTGCGAAACGAACCAGCAGCACCATACATGCTGCCAAACCGTAGCACTTCATGTTCCTTTTCTCTCTCTCTCTTCCACCAACACTCGGTCGGGGTAGCAATCGGCGCAAGCGTCAAAGTCTCGCGCGTTTCCTGCTGTCACGTTGTGGTTGCGAAGGTGTCCACAACCTCTGCGGTGGTACTTTGTTCCTGAACGGACTGCGATCCTGAGCGTGGGCATGTTGAGCACTGTCTCCGTCTTCTTGGTGATCTGCTCATTTGCGCGCATCTGCTTCCATCCGGCAACGAGGCAAACTGCCATGGCGCCGAGCATCATGGTTCCTATGGCTACGAGTAGCATCATCGCTGCCAAGGAGGTTCCTGGAGGCAGCTCCGCTACCATGTTAAAGAACGGGCTTCACTAAGGGTTCCTACCCACAAAGACTGTCGGACACTTTTGTTCCTGGGCACGGTGTGTCCTGGGGTCTCGAGCCTGCACGTCGCGTGTGCGTGACGGCTGTTCCTGTACATTAACTGTACTGCACTAGCTGTGTTACTGTTCCTGGCAGAATGTTTAACATGCGCACAGTGAGGACTTCTGGCATATTAGACAACACGAGGCTGCGCTTTTTGCTGTGGGAGTCCCAAAATCGCCAATCTACCTCCACCTGGTGTGGAGGGTGCTGTGCTGACGGTAAGCGCTGCAAGCTCTCCCAAAATGGTGAGGACACCGAACCCTCAAGAATCAAGGGCAGGTTGTTGCTTAAGCAGCCCGCCATCACTGCCAGAATGAAAGCTGTAGTGACAGGTTCCGAGGCATGTTTAGGAATACATATCATAACACCCGCAATCTTGCCTTTGTCAAGCCATGTTAGGACAGAGTCACAAGTCTCCCTCGTCGACAAGTCCATCTGAAGCACTGGGGCCATAGCCGCTTTCTGCTTGAAGCGGTCCACTCCATAGGAAAAATAGCCCTGCTTAATCAAAGCTGAAGCCACACGAGCTTGGCCTGCAAAACACTGCAGAATGGCCCTGATTGGCTCCTGGCGCTGAGGGGCCGGAGAATTGTCCTGCGATGCCACGAGAGGTGAGGGGAGCGCCCCCTCGCTCCCTGCGTGCTCCAAGGAAAACGACTCAGACGAAGCACTCGGCATCGTAGGAGGATCCAAAACTGTAGGTTCTACCAAAATCGGAGAATCGTCGACATCCACCATCTTAGAAGCAGGGTCCACTCCTACTCCAGAAGGTAGCGAAGCCGGGGTCGCGACATCAGCTACAGAGATACCACCTGAAACGGGTTCGTCCGAAGATGCCATCTCCACGTCCAACGCCAAAGCGACAGGGCGAGGCGGGGGATCCGCTAGTCACAGCTTCTTAGGCTTCAAAGGACACTTACCCACCGGGTGGTCCCCGCCGCATTTGAAGATGCAGCAAGTATGATCGCCCTTCTGGCAGTTTGCATCCGAACAAGTGCCAAGGTTGAAGCCGTAACAGACCTTGTTGCCTTTATGATTCCATGCAGAGGCTCCCTGGAAGCGAAGTCCCTCAGGCAACCATTCCGGCTTACCGGCCCCCGAGCCTTTGCCCTTAGGCGACTTGCCCTTAGCTTGCCAGGTGTTCTTGCCTTTCCCTGTCCAATAATCAGAGCCTTTGGAGGTCCAACCACCCTTACCTTTGCCATTCTTCCCCTTCCAGGGCGCAGCATCACCGTAAGGACCCGGGCGCCCGCCACGGCCATTAGCATTCTTGCCCTTACCATCCAAATCCCCCATAGGCAAAAGAGCAACAATTAGGTCGTAATCGTGAAGAATAGCCCCGATCGCTGAATCGAGCGGAAGAATGCCAGAAGCATCTGCTCGGATGTCCTCACCTGCCTCGGACAACTTGGAAAAGGCAAGCTTATCAGCCCGCAAGATCTGACGAAGAGACACCTTCCTGTAACCAGGCTGAGCAGGCTTGGTCAAATACCTGAACAGAGACGACACATAAGCTTCATGTCTTTCCCAACTGATCAAGCGAGCAAACGCATAAGCCACTCCTCTGCGGCGCAAGGCATTAAGGACTTGCAAAGAGCCCTCAATATCGCGATCATCCATACCAGCAGCCTCCGTAACCTTCAACTTACCGCCTTCCAAGGACAGACTGGTGGTCAAAGGCTTGACGTTCTGAACCTCATCCTCACGGCTATGACACTTCTCTGGACCGATGTACTTCAGGCACCGACTCTCCCAGCCTGCTGAACGGCCATGTCAAGTAATGCATGACTCGGCTCAAGTTGTCCAGTAAGCGAAACTCCGGCGAGCTGAGTCCGGAGCTGATCCATGCGAGCATTTCGCTCGGCTACCCCCACCTTTTTAGGGGAAGCGTGTTCAGCCGGTTCTGCCAAATCCTTCAAAGAAGCCACTAGCATGGTCTGAGCTTCCAAGATCAGGCGCCTTAAAGACGCCTTCTCGCCCACTGTGATGCCTACCAACAAGGCCTCGCTCCACGTGTCAAACTCAGTCTGAGATAGCACCTGTCCCGGTTGTCCGACACAGAAGGCCAGCTGGGCCAAAGTAGACACCCCTTTACCTTTCAAGGCATCCACTACTCGCTTGGCGAGCGAGATTTCATCTGCTCGCTGCACAAAGAAAGGCGCCGAATCTACGGAACTCGTCATGGCTAAATACCTGGCAACCGAAAAAGCTATCAAAGACGAAGCTCTCACAATGCACACCGAGCACTAGAATAGGGCAACTGTTTGCTTTTCGATCAGGCCAAGAAATCAAACTGCGCTCCGTGGAAAACACTTGGAACATTGCGGGTGCGCTTGTGCCCTAGCCATAGGAATGCGCCGATAATGATCGCCAAAAGCTCTGCCACACAAAAACATTGCCGACCCCAAAGTCGTGCGATGTAGAACCTGGCTAGTCGGATGAGCCCAGAAGGATTGTTCCTCCGGGGCTTCTTCATCAGAGTCTGAAACATCAGAAACCACAGCCAAAGCCTCATCCTGATCATCTTCCACAGCCTCCTCCAGGACTTCCGAGTCCTGTGGAAAAGCAGCTGCCTGCAGGATAGATTCCCGAGTCCAACCTGATGCGAAATGACCCGAACGAGTCTGGTCTGGCAAAAATTGTCGCGACTGCATCCAGCACGACAACATACTCACGCAGTGCCGCACTCTGTAACTCACGTCCATAAACTGCATCGCTACCAGTCGCAGCATCCGAGTGATGGCCTAGAACTCGCTTAGTTTCGCGGAGCATCCCAAATTTGCTACACCAAACAAGTGAGGTAACCTTCAACGAGTGCGAACTCACGGCCTGTTCCGTCGATGGACGTGGCAATAAATACCTCAGCCACCTGGTAATTTCGCTACTAGACAGCGGGTCAGAGGACCACGATCCATCCGGCAGAGGCGCCGGCAAAAATGGAACATCGGCCTGATCATTCGGCAAGCCGGCCTCAGCCCTAATGTCCAGGAGGAGCTGACCAAAAGGGGTTTTGGCAATACCCTGGCCAGGAATCACCAGAGGCAATATACGACGTCGCTGAGTGTCCAGCCTAGACGTCTTGTGCTCCAGCGTCCCTAACTCAATGAAACCGGAACTCCAGTCCTCGTTGTGTACATCTATCAAAATACGTTTGACACATCGGATGTCCGATGCCCGTGCCCTTGCGTAGAGCATGGCAAGGAAATGCGCCGCCCCGCATCTATCAATGACAGAAATAGAAGGATCACAACAGATCGTATGCAGTTGGAGAACTTCGGACACCTTGAGGGGTGACGCCGGGCACCACGGGTTTTTAGTCTGTAGCGCCTTCTTCACCACACCATGAATTCGAGGGCTGCTGAAGACCTCTAGTTGAACACGTAGTCCCAAGGTATAATAACTCCACTTGATAGCACGCAGACTACTGTCCAGTGTGGTGGCCGCGGTCTTGGGCATCTTGAGGACACAATGAATGAAAGACCACAGAACTTTTTCCGCAAAAGGCGGAGTCTGACTTGCTTTCAAAAGCCACTCGCAAAAGGTCCGAACCGGACCCAAATGCTTCAAGATGGTGTTCGGTGATTTCCCTGCCAAAACGGCCTGGACAGAATCCGGGCCGTCCTCCTCGTCATCTGCCATCAGAGTACACAGGTCGAAGAAACTCGAAAAGGCATGAAGTAATGTGAGGACCCGGCGGTACGCCTCATCACGACGATCCGCGGCTCTAGGCCCTCGTTTTGCCTTGACTGCACGAGTCCAGGCCTGACAATGAGATCCACTCGGCACCGGATTCCCGGAATCTGAAGGTTGTGCTGCCGTCTGAGGAGTAGACGAAGCCGGGGCCACTCCCTGATAAGGTAAGTTCAAGCCCTGAGGGAAAGCCGCCTTCCATGGATCGAAGATGCACAGCATAGCCGGCTGTTCCCAAGGCTGCCGAGGCAGCGACGACCGAGCATGAGTGATGCTTCGCATGAACACTTCATTCTCACTCGCTCTGGGGTCGTGGCCAGACATCACAAGAAACCCTGGCAGGAACTACGCCCCACCACATTGGTCAAAACTTGAACCGAAAATACGTGAACAACAAGTTGCCAACAAAGACAATACTTCTGCTGGTAATCTCCCCTCGCAGCACACACGAAGCGTAGCGAAGACCACTCAGGTCTAACCCGCCTGATGCGGGGCAAATGGCACAACTTTTCATGCCGCGAATCCCGACGATCTGCCACTTCCTCGTAGTTCATAGGAAGAGTATCCACCACCTCTGGTGTGAGCAATGCCAGCAAAAACCAGACTAGCAAACTATAAATCGCCAAGATATGACTCAGCAGAACATCAGTAGTAGCTGACGATAACAACAATGCTCACAGCTGCAGGGAAAAGGCCGCTTAGCACGGCCACCCTACTGCGATTCCTCTCATAATCGCGTGTTTCGGGGAGATCAAAAAGTGATCCCCCGACCTGACCGATCCAGCGTCCCGGCAACAGATCTGCATCATGTCATTCCCCCCCTCCACAGCGGGGATGCTCCGTGGCAACTCGCACTCTACGAGGACAATTGCCCCGCCCAGGGCTTTAGCCCGACTCGCGCATTTTGTCGCTGCACTTTCCAGTGCATCACGCGACAAGGTGACCAATGAACCCCGTGCCGAAAAGCCGAAGCAGGGAGTTCCCTGATCGCGGAAATCGTTCACCGCGATCTCCCCTATCTCTGCCACGCCGACTAAAGAGGGGAAAGAGGTACCATGAGCCATGATAGCCGAATGGGCCGAGTTCGGATTGCGGATATAGCTTGGCCCGCGCAGTTCGCAAGATAGGATCAAAATCCGTTGCCCAGGCACTCGAAAAATGTGAGCATCGGGTCCGACGACGCCCGCCACTGGATTGTCCCCCTCAAGGGAGCGGCCATAAGACCGAAAGGCAGCAAGGACCGTGACCACGCGGGAAATCACAGAGGTCGGGATCGGACCTTCAAGTCCTTCCAAAAACTCCTTGTAGCCATGCGTGTCAGGAAACTTCTCGGCGATGGTCTTCCAAGGCATCTTCCACCACCACTGCAGTTTTCCCTGCTCTGCCAGTTCCCGGGCTGACAATGGGCGAGTGGGGTCTGCACGCGCTTCATCTTGCGCCGACTTCCACAGGGCTGCAAGGTACGACTCTTCGTCGTCTGCCTCATCCTTATCAGCCTCTTTGGTGGACTTACGGGCGTCGGCCGCAGCCACTTCAGAAGGAGTGGCCTCCTGAATGTTGTGATGGTCTGGGTCCGTCCAAGAAGACTGGTGGCCCGACCCTCGAGGCTCATTCGACCCCTGACTGGACCGATGCCACTTATTCCAGCGCTGGCCCCATTGGCCCTGCTGCTTCTGCTGGCCCCCTCCGCGCCAGGGCTGGCGATTCCACGTAGACTGCTGCTGAGGCACATGCACAGCAGGGGCAATAGGGGCAGGGGTCGAGGGAGGCGGCAAAGGTGGCTGCACCGGCATCACTGGTACTTGCCTCCATTCATATCCCGGCGCTGCAGCCGGCAGCTGAGGCACCGGCGGGGGAAAAGGCGCAACAGCTTGCGCTCCCCTCGATCTTGATTCCCGGTCGCGTCTGCGATCACGGTTTCTGCTCCTCGAGCGCTCAGAACTACTCGATGGAGAGCGCCGACGGCGCCGACGCCTCTCACCGCCGAAAGAGGGCATCATCGGCCCCATCGGTCCCATTTGCCAAGGAAACATCCCTGGTCACACACTCAGCACGTAGCTGAAACCGGGCGCCAGCCCTCCGAGACTCTGTCAAGCGCTTCGGCGCCTTGTCACACACCCAGCACCAGGCTCCTGCCTTGCTTGCTTCTCTGATCTTCTTTTTTTTTTTTTTGGGCCGATGTCAAACGGCAACCGAATAGCTCATGCAATAAATGCTTCGATTGATCGTTAGTACGCAACCTCTGGCGCACACACTCACCAAACATGCGCTCTTGCGCCAGTTTTCTTCCCAAGACCGAGGCGCTGTCCCAACGCTCAGCCGTGGAGACCTAAGCACCGCAGCAAAGGAGGACAAAATCACTCCACCTAACACCTCGCTCCATCAACACAGCCCTTTCTGGCTCCACAGCACTGGAAGAGAATGCTCCGTTCACAGAATCCTAAGGATGAAAAGTACACAGATACCGGCAGCAAGGCCGGCAAAGATCGAAAAAGCACTCCTCAACTCGGCGGTCTCCGATCCGCCCGAGCAGCACATTCATGAAGATACGCAAAATGACAGCTGCATCTAAGCTGGGCTCTCACCAACATTTTAGCTGCTGCCCTAGGGTTGCCACGACTGATCCTGGCATGGTGCATAACCGCCGCTGTGTGAGCCTCCACCGTGTATGTGCCTGCAGATTGCAAGTCAATGTCGTGGGAGACCTCAGCAGACGTAGCAGCAGCAGCAAAAGACGGAGCGAGCTCCGCAGATGAAGAAGCTCCGGAGATCGTCGGCTTCCGCGAATCCAACTCTCGCGAGACCTCAGCCTTAGCCTCGATGGCAGAGCTATCCGAGCCCGATGCAAGGCTCTGCTGTCTCGCCTTGCTATGCCTACGGGAAGACTTCTTTTTCTTCTTCGTCTGCTTCTTCTTAACCTTCTTCCCAGATTTAGGAGGAGGTGCCGGACTCAACGGCTCAAAAGCCGAGCTCCACGAAGACCAAGACCTGTCGTCCTCATCAGCCGGCCCTGTGACGACCGACATTGCAAATCAGTCTGAGAAGCAGACGGCTACACAAGTGCACGACAAACGATGCAGAAAGCAATCCTCAACTCAGCACCACGTGAAATCAGTAAGTTCCTGCAGCAGAAACCTACACTCAACTCAAGCTTTTATGCAGTGCGAACGAAGCTCACAGGTGACAATGTGCTGGCCACTAGCACTGGAGCTGAAAAACTCAGGTGCCTGCCATCCTGGATCAATTGAAACGAGCTCAATTTAGGGAAGCTGCCAACAAGCTCGAAAAGACGTTGTGATACGAAATACTTTGCCTGATCGATAATATCTTTGCAACTCAACTGAAGATCGAGCGTGATGGGCTTATAGCTGGTGAGGCGGTCAGTAACGACCACCTGCATCCTGAAGATATATCTCGGAGGCGTATCCCAGGGCAAGTTTGCCTCGCCCGCCTTTCTCTTCCTCTGAGCAAGAGGCAGGCTACACAAAGTCTCACGACGGGAGCTGAGGTTCCAGCAATCCTCGAGGAGCGTGCTCCGGATCAGAATTGCGGCCAGCCCAAAACTTCCAATGAAGAAAGCAAGAAACAAGCATCTGCTGAGACTCCAACCGCGACACGCGATCGAAAAGGCGGTCAGCAATCATGAGCTGCATTCTATGCAGCCGACAGATCTGAATCTGTAATCCACGCATGTGACGTAACACAAAGCTCTCAGTGGATGTAAACGAATCCGAGGGCGTCGGCGCCTCTGCTTCTTCACCGGTCACTTCAGGGGATTGCATGCTCCTGAACCACAAGCCAGTGTGAAAATCGCACACGAAAGAATCAACAAAGCTCCAACTAAGTAGGCAACCGCGAGATCACTCTGCAAGTTGAGCAGGATACTGTAGGCTCAAAGCTCAAGTCGCACTCAAGCAGAAGATTCACTTCATCAAGACCTCCCAGCGAGAGACTGAGGCACAAGCATCCGGCCCGCCCCCCTATTTCAAATAAAACTCTCGCCCGATTCAAGGGCTTCCTGCCCCTTCGAGAGGTCAAGCTGCAACGGACGAATGTGTTCTTCAACTTGTTTACAGCATGTATGAATGAGAGTTCATAAAAAGGCAGTGTAAAGGAAAAGCCCTAAAACAACAAATCAAAATTGGACTCAGTTCTCTGAGCCATTTTGTCATGTTGTTTTTCTTCAAACGATAAAGCCATATCTTCTGCAAGTGTTCAAAGAATGTAACATGCTGCAGCAGGAGGCTTGTGACTTCTGCTGCTGCTGGCATTGCTGGTAGAACTGGAACCTTTAGACGCCTCTGCAAGAAACACCTCCACGTCCTGGGACGTAGGTCCGTCCATCGACTGCGGCAGTGTACCAGAGCGAGCGAGGTGTGCCAAGACCAAATTGGCCGTGATGATGACCCGATGCCCACAGGACCATGCATCTGGTTGACTCCCTACACGAGCTATCGTCAAAGACAGCGGGGGTTGGGTCCAGCCAACATTCTGTGCATGGTAGAGGAAAGCTTTGGCACTGTCCGCACACATCGCACTGGCAAGTCCATCGTACAAGTGGGCAATCGGTGGGGATGCAGTGGGCCTGTGCAGAACGAGCAGGCACCAGTGAGAAGGAGAGTACACGATGCCAAAGCATGTCTGCACATGCAGCTGTCGGCTTAGAAGCTGCCCCCGCTCCTCGTTCCCGACGTTCACCACTCCAAAACGCTTGTTCCAGAGTTCCTGGCCCCAGTGCTTGCAGGCTGCCAGCACTCCATGTGCGACCTGCGCCAGGTCGCACTGCTCCCGGCCAGGAGCTTTGCAGAGCGAACCTCTCGTGAGCAGGGATTCGAGCTCGCGGGGAGAGATGGCATCCAGGGGCTCCTTCCTGGGCTGCGACTGCACCCTCTTGGCCTTGCCATGCTCAACTGGTTCCACGGGCTCGTTCTTTGCATTCTGCATGGTCGCATCCTCACACTCCGCCCTGCCATCTGCTGCTGAGTCTGGGCAAAGAAGCTCGCCCATGCATGGCCTGGAAGGTTGCACCGCAGAAGTGGCTGGGCACAGTCCCTGAGGAATGTAGCCTGTGCCTCGGTGCAGTCGCCTTGGTGTACATGCTCCGGATCGGAAAGCACAAGCCAGCCGTAGGCAGGCAGATGAGATCGCCAAGCAGTGTCCTCTACGCCTTCTAGGTAAGCCCGAAAGTCTAGGCAGACATGCCGACGGACAGCCTCCTCACTTAGTAGAGGCCAGGGATATGTGTTGCCATTCAGGACGTAACGCATAAGGGGGGTGAACTGGATATCTCGCAGGCGCTCACACGAAGCGAAGCTGGCAAATGCTGAAAGATCTGCTGCCAATCCTCTCTGGACATAGCCTTCCTCGGAGGATCAGGCTACAGCATGCAGAGGGGTAAGGCAGCAGGAGTCAGCAGGAGATGTCAAGCGAATCGCACTATGTTGCTACAGCGAGGCACCATCTTCTCAGCAGAGCTGTGTGCTGACAATCCTTCAGACCCTCTTCCACGAGATCACGGCAGACAGCCCAAGGCTGGCGAATGTGGGCGGCCGAGACAAGGTCCGCCACGGTGCGCTCGCTTTTCACCCGCAACAACAAACCACTGGGTCTAGGACAAAATAGGGCTAGGGTGGAGGGGTCCTCTAGGCCGCTGCTATTAGGTTCTTATTAGGGTAAGAGTGAGTCCCCCCCCCCCATCCCACCACCCGAAATATGCGAAAACCCTGGTTTCTGCTTGGCACAGACTATCTACCCGCTGCCTAAGTTAGGTCGCGGTGCTAGCTGGATTACGAGTAGCTTGGTTTCTGCTTGGCACGGACTATCTACCCGCTGCCGAAGTCGAGTGGCTTCCAGGGTGGAAATAGGGCTAGGGTGGAGGGGTCCTCTAGGCCGCTGTAGCTGCTTCTACAAGCCAGCCCCATCCAATTGCAGCACTCAGATGTGCCAGCAATATCCCGTGGGGCATCGACTTGTGGTGGCAGTGAGGCTCTTCAGTCAGCCAAGCAAAGGCAAGGTCCCAAGCCATGGAAAGGTTCCTGCGTATGCTCGGCTTTAGGGCAGCGACAGCATTTATAGTCTCGGAGTACTTATAGTACGGCATCCCAGCACGGAAAAGAGCCTGGCCATAGCTCACCAGCAGCTGAGATGTACGCTCAGCAGGGTCGAAGGCAGAGTCCAGCACTTGCTGCAAAGTCTGGCCGCAAAAGTCCTGGAGCCAAAGGCTGAAAGCATCAGCCAGTCGCAGACGGTTTGATCTGGTGATTGGCCTCAGAACGCGATCAGCAATCAGTTGCACTGGCTGTCGTCGTTGGGCCCGTCGATCTCAGCTGGGGTGCTAGGCGCAATCATCGCCATGGCGTGAGCTACAAGCACTAACCCAACCCTACGAAACCAGCCCTCACCAGGAAAGCCCAAGGTGGAGTCAAAAGAGACAGAGAGGAGCACGAAAAGGGTGGCGTACCGAGGAAGGAGAAGAAGCTCAACCACAAGTCCAAAAGCGTGGGAGCTAGCACACAGGCCGGATGGCCAGAGGTTGGCAAAAGAAGGCGGAGGCTTTACCACAAAACCAAACGTGTGGGAGCATGCACGCAGGGAGGTTGAAGCAGGGCACCGAAAGGACTCGAGAAAAAAAGGGGGCTCAACCACAAGTCCAAAGGAGTGGGAGCCAGCACACAGACCACGAAGTCCACAAACCGGAAGAAAGCGAGAAGGAAGAGCCCCACAGAGCAAAGCCAGTAGAAGCACAGAGTGGCAAGCTGGCAGAGAAGAGGCGAAGAAAGCGAAGCCAGTGCAACCCAAAGCTCGACCACAAGTCCAGGAAAGTGGGAGCATGCACGCGTGACCCCGAAAGAAGCCCCTAAAGGAAGATCACTGCTGGTAGTGACGGGGTGGACCTCACAGGAAGGAGGGGCACGAAGCCCGCAGGCAGGTGAGCAAAGTAGAAGAAGGAGGGCGAGCCGCAGCCAAGAAGCAAGTGGCCTGCGGAACCTCAAAGCCGAGACAGAGTGCCACTCATCGCCGGACAAAAGATCGTACAGTCGATGAGTCACTGGAGGTCTCAGGTCGGCGAACCGGGTGGGATCATCGGCTATATTCAGCCGAGTTGGTGCAAAGCCGTAGGAGAAGAACAGCCCAAAGGCTAGCTGCACCGCAGAGGATCGGCCAAGAGCGTAACCCAGGGCCCGGGAGGCTGACCTGCCCTTTGCAGCAGCGCTCTTTGCAACCTGGGAATCAGCCATGACATAGATGCGAGAATCCGGTGAGCAGGTTGCAGCCTGCCGATGCAGAGCAACGATGACGGCCAGTTCAAGCACATTGATATGAGATGAACCCTGCCAGGGAATAACAGAGACAGTTTCCCAGGCGGCCCCAGCGAGGACGTCATTAGTGGCAATGCTCTCAATGCCAGGCCCAGTGCCAAGCCCGGGGGACCCACGGAGCGACCTTGAGAAGCAGAGGCGAAGCTCGGCTCCGAGGACCTCACCGGAAGGAGGCGCGCTAAAGAGGCTGTGCTCACAAGGGCTCTCCTGACGAAAAGGCTCAAGCGGGGAAACGTCGACACCACATGGCACGCAGAGGAGCTGACGAACATCATGTGTCCCAAACGCAGCACCAATGATGAAGGGGTCAGAGCTGCAGAGCGCCCGAAAGGACTCGAGGAGCGGCCCGTGGCTGCTGACTCAAGCGGGAGCAAGCAAAGAGCAGGCACCCCGGCCTTACAAGCAACCCTCAACAGAGCCAGACACCGGAGGCCCTTTGGTCCGGAAGCAAGGCAGCCGCAGCAAGGGCCAGAAGGGGCGAGAAGCACGCCCCGCGTGTAGCCGCCGGCGATGACCTCATCAGAAACCCAGAGCCCGAAGTTTGGGTCGAGAAGGCTGTAGTGGCGAGAGGCTGCACTGGAGAAGCAGGGGCTAAGGTCAAGACCACTAACAATCCCCGGGCCACCTAAAACCCCCTTACAGCAACCAACCTCGAGCACATCAAAGCCAAAGGGGATGGCTCCACCTTCATCTGCGGTCGGAGGAGAATCTGCCACGTCCTCCTGCGTGTGTGGGAGGCCAGCAGTCTTTAGTAGCACCTTTGGGCCCTCCTCAAGGCGAGTGTGCGCTCCTTTTTCGCGGTCACCATTCTGCCACAGAGAGCGAGCAACGTTGGCAGGCAAATGACATTTGCAAATGGCTCCCCGAGCGAGAGAGGCGTCGGTGGCATAAGCAGCCTGACTCTGTTTTGCGGTGAGGTCGGCGGCAGCAATCGGGCTGAGAACAGCGCACAGTACAAGCTCTTGGGCAAGCCGCCGGGAGAGGCGAATCGCAACCCTGCTCTCATGCGGGAGCAGCGGCGGCCGCGTTTGCAACGCCGTAGGCCTCGGACAAAACCGTCATACAGCACCTGCGGTACAGGAAGACGGAGGTCCACGCCCCAGTCAAACGAGCAACCAGGCCCGAAGTGGTAACAGGGAGCCGAGCAGCACGCAAGCTAAGCAAAGCTAAGGCAGCACGCCGAGCCAAAGAGGCCCCAGCCGAGACAAGGCCGAGCCGGACCGTATTTGGCCGAGAGTCAACCTCCGTGCCGATGGCTTGAAAGAGGCTCTGCCCGTAGACGTCCTTTTCAGGAGAGCCCAGCACGCTATGGCGATCGTAAACATCACAGGCGGCCAGGTGAAGCTCACGGGCAGCCGAGACTCCTTTTGGGTCAGCGGCAGCCGGGAGACAGCACAAGCTGACAAGATCATCAATCACAAGTGCTTGGACTGCAGGTCCATGGGAAAGCTGCATGGTTCAGCAGCCTGCAGGAATCCGGAAGGGCCCCCGTTGGAAAGCAAAGCCTCGTGGGCAGCTATGGCGAATTCCATGCCCATGTGGTCACCTTGGAAAAGCGACCTGAAGCAGGGAGTCCACCGACTCCGAGAGTCAGCGGCAACATCAGCATCCCAACTTGCATGCCCGAAAGCAAGGGGTGAGAGGAGCCCCCGAAGTTCAGCAGCGGAGTAGTCGAAGGCTAAGCGGTTTGAACACGCCCTCTCGTAGGAAATTTTAAACTGATGATAAAAATCCTTACGGTCGCTGCAGTATCCAACGACTTGCTGCTTGAACCTTTTGACCTCAAGGCCTGTCAAAAGGAAGCCGGGTGGCAAACGGAGCGATGGTCCTTGGAGGTGTCGTTCCAGGCAGTTGACCACTCGGCGGTCTCCTATCTGTCTGTCGCGATCTATATCCTTATAGGAATTAAAGACGCGAGAACGGCGGAGCGGATCAGGAGGGCCCCGAACTAAACCAAGCAACCCTTGGGTAGACCAAAGCCGGGCAAGCGAAAGGTTTTCAGCACGGCTCTCAAGGGCGAAGTTTGGCAAGTCGAGCCCAACGTCAGGGCGCCCATGGTCGAGGCAGGCTGGTTTAACAAAAGGCAGCCAGAGAATGCCTTCGAGCCAACGTGAAGCATCCCATTCTCCCCTGCCAGTCAAACGGAGCCGGCTGGTGTCGAGGGATCGATAAGGCTGGAGCTGGGGAAGGTCAGAAGCCACAGGAAGCGGCGGCACAGGCCGACCATGTAGGTTAGTGCCGCGTGGCTTCTCAACATCAGCAGCAGGATCAAGGGCAGGGCCGTCGGAAGGAGCTTCAGGGAAGGAGGAAGCACAGGGCCCGTCAGAATACCCAGAGCCGCTCTTGGGCAGGGCATGGCGAAAAGCTCAAGTTCAAGAAGACGTGCAAGACCCTCGGGTCCAGACCGCCCCGGCGGAAGGCCAAAGCGATCGGGTCGGGAGTCACACGCGACAAGGTAGCGCCACAGCCTGTCATAGGCAGACAGCTGGTGGGCATTGGGCTCCCTCCAGAGCAAGTCAAACTGCAGAGGCCGCAGTCCTTTGTAGACTCGTAGACATAGTTAAGCCCAGGGACGATAACATGTAGGACCCGGCGAAGGCGAAGACGACGCCACTTTGCAGCAGACAGTCTGGGGCCACTCCCATCAAAGAGGCCAAGAAAAGGCAGAGGGAGCGGGAATGTCGCGGAAGACGGGGCGGCTCCCCGTCGGCTGGCAGGAGAAGAAAAAGACTTGCAGAGCATCGCCCCAAAGAGAGTGCGAGATCTCGCCACCCATCGGGGCAGCGAAGCAGCCCACTCAGCAAAGGAAAACGAAGCAGTGAGTTGGCTTGAGGGCTCAGCGGGATTAGTGAACCGAGGCGGGCCTATTAAACCTTCAAAGGTGGCGCCAGGAGTTCCGGGCTCAGAGCAAAGTTTTGCAGAGGGATTTATTTGGCCTAGGCTCATAAGAGGCAGAGGCATGCACATTCTCGGTCAGGTTGCTTTCTTTCGCGGAGGGCGGCGTGGCTTTGAAGGAGGAGAGTCCTCGCCGTTCTCGTCCTGATGGGACCCAGAGCCGGCGCCAGAAGGCACCTTTCGCATGTCCTGGCGTTTTGCCTGAATCACATCGAGCTCCTTCACGTAGCTCAGCACTATTGCCACCCACCGTTGCGAAGCAAGGGGCGCAAATGCCCTCGTGTGCAAGCTGCTGCTGCGAGCGCCCCTCGCCTGGTAGCCAAGCTCGGCCCTGCCGGAGTCCATTGCCATCATCTGTTCGATGCACACTGCAAGCAGGGACAAGTGGTCTGAGGCTTGCACAACATTTCCTGCTTGCAAACAGTCGAGTGCCTGCGCAAGGGAGTGTGCGATTGCCCCAAGGTCCCTCTGGCCGGCGAAGCCACCGTAGCGTTCCCAATACCGGGAGAGGCACACTCCTTGCTGCAGAAGCTCCCCCGGATCGGAGGAGGCAAGCACAGCTGAACTCATCCTTCGAGCTATGTTTTGCAGAACCGCCGTGTAGAAGGTTCCCTTGCCAGACGCAAGTTCTTCCTGCATCCTGGCCCTTTGGCTGGCACCCCTTGAGCTTACCTGCGAGGAAGAAGCCCCTAGGTCTACCAAACCATCCCCGACAGATGAAGACAGCTGGGCAACCAAGGTGGTTAACGCACGCGACTGCTCGAGCACTGCTTGCGCCAAGGGGTCGCGGCCCTCGGCCTGGGCACCACACTCGGCCTGGGCCTCTGCTACTTCCGCCTCTGCAAGACCCGCCGTCTCGGTGGGCGGGAGCCCCGCAAGCCGGGAGGCCCAAGCTGGGAAAGGGGAGGAGCGCCTCCATGCTTTGGTCGTGCCAAGTGCCAGGGGCTGGCTGAGAGCCGCCGCTGGTCCACTGGAAATCTGCTTCTCCACGGCTGCCTGACGGGTCGCCATCGCCCCTTTTGGAGCGGCAGCGGACCCTGTAGGCAAAGGCTCGGCCGCCTGCTGAGGAGGATCCTGCTTTGAAAGACGCAGGACGGGCCTCTTCGGCTTTGCAGGGCCCTCGGGGGCCCCCTCGTCGGCAGAGTAGAAAGTGACGCGCTCTGGGGTCCCGGCTGAAGAAGTGCAGTCCAAAGCGAGCTGGAGTAAGACGGCCGGGTCTGGTATGACATCGTCCTTGACTCCCTCGAAGCAAACACAAAGGTCGGGGGCAGCATCTTCCAAAAGCAGCTGGAAGCGGGAGGCTGCGAGCACGGAGAGATCTAGCACAACAGCCATGACAGGAAGACCGGAAAGGGGTGCAAAGCCGTCCGCGGTCCTCTCGAGGGCGGGCGCCTCCAGAACAACAGATGGCCCAAGCACGTCGTCCATCCCAGCAGCATGTGCGGCGGCCAGCTCCTCCTCGGTGACTATCCCTGGAGGGATGGCAACTAGCCACTCGCCCTGCGCGTCAAGATCACGGAGATGCACTCGAGGGCCCCTGGGCCCGAAGCTTCGGGGTGCTCGTAAAGCCAAATTGCTTGATGCTCGCTGAAGGGAGAAAGCGCCTCCATCACTGGCCACCAAGGGGCCAAGGAACGCCTGCGGCGTCTGCGTAGACCTTTGCCTCCAACTCGGATGGAAAGCCGTGCGAGACGGCCGGTGAATCAGCAATCGGGCCCAAGGCGGCCTGATAAGACCTGAAGGAGGTGTAAAGACAAGGCTGCACCCCACCGCCCCCAAGAACAGGATAAAACCTGGAAGCAAGCCTGAGATTCTCGGATGGGAGCGGTGCGGCGTAGCTGCCGCTCAACACCAAGCGAGCCCACTGGCCCGCCCGCCAAGCCCGGCGGATACGATCGGCAGGTGAGAGATTTGCTGTACCCAAGGTGGAGGCACGATCCAACCAAGCTGTAGGACAGACAGGGAAGGCACTCTCAACGTCCCGTTTGGTGGGAACGAAAGGGGCCTCAGCGGCCAGCAAGTGGTCCTGTGTGACAGGGACTGAAGAAGAGGCAGCAGAGGATGATCTGGCAGGAGACCGACCAACACAACCCAAAGGAGAAGGCAAAGGTGGCGTGGCAGGAAGGTGCAATGCAGATCGAGCGCTCACGCTTCGATCACCCGGCGAGGGGGGCAAGGAAGAGCCAGCAGCCTCCAAGTCAAAGAGCTGAACATGCTGAAGGAGAAGGGTGGCCTCACGAAGAGGGCCGTGCAAGGTGACCTGCAAGGGGCCCACAGAAGCAGTCAAAGCAACAGTGCCAGGCTCAGTGCCTTGCATCCACGTATTGGCGGAGACGAAGGACAGCCGCGGAGTGGACCGGGCGAGAAGGGCCAGGGGCTTCAGAAAGGCCTGCACGCCAGATCGGAAGAAGGAGCCAGGCAGCCAGCACAACGGCCGACAGGAACCCACAGAGATAGGCGAGAAGGAGAGCAGGGAGGCTGGCAGGGCCACAATAAAAGGGACAGGCAAGGCCCCACAAGTTAGAAGTAAGCCCTGAATGAACCAACCCCAACAGAGAGCTCAGTTCCATTCCCAGGGCACCTCAAGTCTTGAGCAGCGGCAGGTCAACTCGTTCCTCTAGCAGCTTACGGAGTCAGTGTTTATACTGTACGCTTTGTCTTACGATCTCGAAATCGAAATCTAGACCACAGGAAAGCAGTAAGGCAGGGTATTCATCAGGAGGTTTCCCAACAACGCCCGAGTGGCACTGGACGCAGCAAGCCATCCCTTCCCCGCCCAACCCTCCCCTCCATTCCTTCCCCACAGCAATGCTATCAATGGCGGGGGGTTTTTTTTTTTTCGAAGGTGCGGCCAACCCTCTTTTTTCGGAGGTGCGGCCAAGGATTTGTTCAGGTTGGACACCCAGGATCCTTGTAGAGGGTTCATCGGCGATGTAAAGAATTTGCGCCCCACCACAGCGCCAGCGCTTCGACACGCAGAATCCCTGTAGAGGGTTCATCGGGGCCGTAGAGAATTTGCGCCGCACCACAGCGCCAGCGCTTGGAGGCGCAGGATCCCTGTGGAGGGTTCATCGGTGTGGAGGGTTCATCGGGGACGTAGAAAATTTGCACCGCACCACAGAGCCAACGCTTCGAGGGGCAGGATCCCTGTGGAGGGTCCATCGGGGACGTAGAAAATTTGCACCGCACCACAGAGCCAACGCTTCGAGGGGCAGGATCCCTGTGGAGGGTTCATCGGGGACGTAGACAATTGGCGCCGCACCACAGCGCCAGCGCTTCGAAGCGCAGGATCCCTGGGTGAAGCATCAAAAAAAACTAATCATCAACAACAAATGAAATCCAGGGATCAACAAAAAACTTATTTAAAAAAAAGAGCATCACAAACAAATTAAATTATAGGAAATGAAGCCATTTCCAAAACTATTTGCCTTGGTGGCGATGGTGGTGTCGTTGATGTCGTTGCTGTCGTCGTTGGTGGTGGTGGTGTCGTTGATGTCGTCGTGTTGTTGCTGCTCTTCGCGTTAAACCCCCTGGAGCGTGGCTGTCTGGCTTTCCCCTTC